TCTTTTAATTAACATAACATAAATGGGTAAATAAATAAGTCAAATAATATTCTATCAGATCATAATATAAACTCAATTAAAAACCTTATTTTGTATAGTAGTGTTTATTGTATAATTCTAGACAATTCTTTAGGTTCGTTTGCAAATGTATGAAAACAAAACACAATTTATCGCACTTAAAAGTTTAGGACTTTTGAATTGCAATCTTATTTCTAATTTTGAGAACCAAAAGAATCTTAGAAATTTCTGTAATTTCAGAAATGTTTTTATTGTATTGTAAGTGGGTTCATAAAAGTCTACCAAAATACTTTTTCCGTCGTTGTCCGCCAAAGAAGTATGAAAACTGCTAGACAACATAAATTATAAATTATAGCTATCATTTAGTCTCAACTTTTGCTTTCTATAACAATTCGTACATAAATAATAAAAGAATAAAAGTAGAGATTAGAGATTATATTTGGTGTTATTTATGATTTATTCTGAAACTATTTAAGTTTGCAAAGGAGAGGCTGTTGAACGGTCAACTGGCCTTGTTTCCCCTGATCACCGATGATTTCGAATCAAGATTCAAGAATTTCTGACGCGACGCCCGCAACAAAATTAACTGAAAATATTTACCAAAACAGCGGCGGCAGCGGAGGAAAATCGTTTTTATTTGGCCGTCGGCCAATTAAGATGCACGAACTTCCCGCTGCCCCCGAAAGCCCCGCCCCCTTTGGTCCAACCGCCCCCATCGAGCTTTGCATATTTAAAATTTTCATTTGCACGTAGTAGCTTTTTTTCGACCCAGAAATTTGGCTGAGAAGCGCGTGATTATTACTCATTTGGTGCCAATGACGCTGGCCATGCGACTTCCTTTCCTCTCTGGAGTTTGTTGGGTACACTGAACACAAAACTGACTCACTCATATCAATTTATAAATAAAAGAGAGAAGGTAGTATATCGAACTTGAAGGCCAGTCTATCGAGTAATCATTACGCTACCGATCTAGATATTCGAGAGGGTAAACACCTCGATACTTAAACAATCGACAGACAGAACATGAAAATGTTTACGTTAATTACTCTATAGATAGAATAAATTCCGAGGCGAGAAAACTTTTTTTTCGTTTATCTTTCATTCAAATTTTCCTAATTCGGTGGCCATATAATTATGGGGATTTTTTCGAGGAGTCTGAACAACTTTTAAGACCATTTCTTTAATGAGCTTAAGTAGATTAATAGCATACTTATGTGTTTAATAGATTTTAAGACTTCCAGTGTACCCATTTATATAAAGAGCCGTAAGTGAACTTTGTTTTACGTTTTGACAAGAAGTGATTAGTTATAGTAAGTGACGTTGGGGAAATTTAATTGATTTGTTTCCAATCTGCGATAGTGATATTGCAGAATGTTTCATTCTTTTCATGTTTATTTTCGTGCACCCTCAAAGGCCGATATTTTCTGAAAGCCCCTAGCACGTCAGCCACTGCTGTTATCTACTCGAATATCTTTGCAGTTTGGTTTGTTATTTTTTTGCGTTAGAGTGCCTAAATAATTAGCAGGCGAAAATCAGCCGACAAAACCAAACAATGTTCGACCTGAAAATACAAAGATATATCGCACACTCGCACACAATTATCCGCAGAGTCTACGTGCATCGCTAGGCGTAGGTTCTATTCGCCAGAATTGGGGTACAGTGGTCACTCTTTAAGTGGAAGAGGTCATTTGAATTATAGAAAAATGCTTAACCATTTTTGGAAACTTAGCTTAATTTATATAAGGTGTTTTGCTTTAAGCTAATAGGTTTGTTTAATGATTTTCTGGTTTTCAAAAAGAGACATTTCATTTCCTGATTCCGATCCTATAAAAATATATTTTAAATGCACAAATGGTTAAACAGAGTGCTACCAATAGAATTGGAGCTACTTTAAGATACATTTCAATGTAAATATTTATCTTTCATCATTAAATTTGGTTCTAGTTTCCGTACGTTTACTGTAAGAATCCAATTGCAGTCGTAAAATTGATGTGGCGCTTCATGTCTGGGGCGTCGAGTGGCTGACAAGTCAAATCGAAATCACATTTAATAAAACAGCGACAGAAACCGCTTCTTCCTTTTTTTTTATCACCCATCTATTTGTGGACATAAAAAGGGGGGGAAAGGGTTTCGGAGGATTTCGAGTCTGGCTCGTGTTCCGTTTCAATTAACCATTTGTTTGTGACGTGACAAGCTGGTTGCCAAGTGCTTTTGCCCACAGAAGAGGTTGAAGTAAATGAGAACGTACCGCAAATATCATTCAATGGATCAAAATGTCTTCGAATGAATGCAATTCTTTTTAAAGATTCGAGCAACTTATATTTCTATTTATTTTCTGTTATTTAAGCATACAATTTCTGGGACAACGCTACGTATGAGTAATAAATATTTATGCTATTTCGCAGACAGAAAACATTGAGAACTTAATATGTTTGTAGCGGATAATTATTGCCAGTACGACGTGCTCAAATGCATGAATAAACCTAAGTTATCGTTTTACTGATTGATTGAATTATTTGTTTACTTTTACTTCCCCACCCATTGAAAATGTGCAATAGGCATTCGATCGCTTGTTGACTTGCAAAGATCTCAAAGTAATATATCCGACCCGCCCATTCTCCGCCAGCCACGCCCCCTTCGGCGAACGATCAAGAAAAACAGAACAAATACGGAATGATCGCGGGCCGCGTGACTTTTATGACAGAAAATACATTGAGAAAAAAAAAGCTGGGCAAGAAGAAGCCGAGAACCGAACGAAGCTGAAAGGCGACAGAGAGCTTAACGTAGGAATCGTTTATTTATGTTGTTTATGTGCCTACATATATATGAAGAGTCTGTGTGTAGACGTATATTATTTATTTTTAAACGGACACTTGCACTCGGGAAAATAAGGGTGAAATTTCAATAATTCGTAAACACGATGTTGGAAATAAAACTATATTTATTTGAACTAAGAGAATGGTAAACCTCGAATAGAGTCGAATCAACTTTATTTCTAGGTACCAGTATTGCCAAGAAATCGGACCGTATACTTAATTTACGTTACGTATACGTAATCGTAGCGTATACTTAATCTATATTAAGTCAAAGCGCATATTAAGTATACGCAATGTTGTACTGAATTATTTTCAAATCTATGGATATTTGTGAAACGATTTTGATAAACAAAAGATAAATTTAAATAAACTTTTTTATCTATGTGAAAGGTTTTATAAAAATAATCTAAAACTCATTAATACCCATTTAACCATTAATAATCGTTTCTAATTATTTTCCCCGCCTGTTCGACTGCATACGTAGGCACACCGGCGTGTGTATCCAAATCTTGGGATGCGTATATTATTTATGCTCGTGCTACTGTTATACTTGTTCAGACATTTGTTCAACACTATCTCGATACATATACGATTTTTGGGGGCAAGTCCAGTGGCAGAATCAGAATGAGGAACTATGGGTGTACATTATGTACACGGGGCTGATGAAATTTGGCCGCCTCGTGGGCGAGAACATGAAATCTAGTGACGTAGTCAGATGCGAAATATACATATATATACATATAGTGTAACAAAGGGAGTCACAGTCACAGTCGCAGTCACAATAAAAGTCACAGTCGCATTCGCATTTGCTGCGGCACATGACCATTAATAAGCGACCAATTGAGTCAAATGAAATGCGCAACCAACAATTAATTGAGAGAAGCCAATGAATGGAGGCGAATGGACGCGATGAGATGCGATGGTATGGGATCAAATGGGATGGGATGCCACCATCGATGGATGCAGATTCTCGACAGAGAGAGTGAGAGAGAGAGAGAGAGAAAGAGAAAACCTTCTGACGTCGCCGGGGAATTAGCTGAATAATTTAATTTCCAATTTTTATGCAAAGCTATAAATAGTCGGGCAGATCAAGAGAGAAAACGAGCGGATGGATGCCTTCACCTTGACAATTCTATAATCAAAATATAGAACCGTACGACAGTTAAACAGACGCGAATTGCATAAATCAGTCGTCAGGAGGAGGACTTCTATACTTTTCAACTTCTATACGCAGTGTGTCACGTAGTCAGTGGAGAAAAGCTGGCGAATTTCGAGCAGAGCCGACGGCATAGAGTCTCTCTCTCTTGCCTTATTTTGTATCGAGATAAATGACTAAATGGTTTCAGTACTTATTTTTACCGGACAGGTTCTAACAACTCAAATGCTTTCATTTCAAGTGGTATTTCCTGGGAGTTGGAGTGATTAGGAGCTCTTATCGAAACCGGGGATCTTATTTTAGTATAGAGAACTTTATCATTTATGCCGCCTAATACAGTTTCATTAACTTCCAATTAAAAGAACAATAAATAAACAAAGTACTATCGCAAATTTTTAAACAAGGAACAAATGTTATGTTTGAAATATCTGTTCATTTGGAGTATTTTATTTAATATTATATTTAATATTAAATTTAAGCTCTAATTTGTGTAGATTTAAAGTTAAATGATTAAAAAATATTTTAATAATAATAATAACAAAAATAATAATAATTTGTTTTTATAATTTAAATCTGGAACTTATACATATAAAATATCTTTTATAAATTCTTATACAAAATCCTTGAAGCTAGATTCCGAGTAATGGCTGCACTAAAAAGAATTCTAGAAAATGTTATTTTTGGGTATAATTTTAAGATAAAATCTTTAAAGCCAGTTAGTGAAACAGGCATCTTTCATAATTTTCATCTTTATCATTAACCCACAGCAGCCGAAATTTTTTGCCGCATTCATCGTTTGGAGAAAGTGGTTATTCTCCCATCGCCGGTCGGCATTCGGCTTTCGGCTTTTGGCTTTCGTGTGTGTGTGTCGGCTTTCGGCTTTTCGGTTTTCATGTCCGCTCGTCGGCGGATTTTCCGGCGCTCGGCCGCCGCTCGGCAAGCGGAAAGCTCTCGCCGGGCGGACTATTTGACGCCGCCGCCAAGCGGGATGCGAACAGTTGCCTGCGAACCGCCGCCCACTGCGCTACACATTTTCTGGCCCGCTCTCGATAGAATCACTTTTTTTGTTAAACCCCACACATCTACTATATATTTATATATATATATTGAAATTCGTATATTCGCTGAGAGCTGAAATTCGCGGCGAAATAATTTTAGCAACTTGTTATCCGTCCATGCCATGCGCGATAAAATATCACAACTATTTTGCTTGCAAAAGAACGCATGCAAAAATAATTCAACAGATAATAACAGAGGTGTGTGCTTGTGTGTGTGCGAGTGTGTTTGTTTGAGTGTGTGAGCGAGTCCATTCATAAACTTTGTCTACACAGAAAAGAATTGTGTGAAATTCGAAATAGTCACGAATGCTTTAATCAAATATAAATTAAGATCAATGAATATTATTTTCTGTGCCCACGTTGGATTTATATATTTTTTTCTGGTTGCAATGCTAATCCATGTGTGTTCTGTTCTCTCTTATTTCCCGATCCGATCCGATCCGATCATGTGATCCTCCGCAGGACATAATGTGCCAACAAAAGCAACGAGCAACGGGACCATGTGCGCCAATGGGGCTCTTGGGACAGAAGGGCCCGAAGCGCCAGAGACCGACTCATCAGGGACCGGGCGGATGCGGAAGCCGCTGGAGAGGAATGGCTCAACGCAGAACCACGTTGTTCACCTCGAGAGAAGGTAATGATCCCCGACAGATCGGGCCAGTTTAAAGATCACATATAGTATGCTTGGGCTTAAAGATATCTTTCTTCATCATGAGTTTGAAATCTTTTGACAGAACTTCAGAAAGATTTTTGAAACTAACAGAAAGTTATCTTGAAAAGTTTAAGCTGCTCAGCACAGTTAATTTTCCTCTCCTCAATTGAAATATATTTTCTTATTGGTAAGGATAAACTAAAAACCATGAGCAATTTGAGTGGAAACGTTTTCAGTTTTCAGTGTAGATGTAAACATTTTCTATTTACCTTGCTAGAAACGCGCCGTCCGCTTGATTAAGTTTTAACACATAGCTGTTAGTTAAATGATTTACCCAATCCACTCGAAATTAACAAGTTCACAGGTCTATTTCTGACATCCATCTACCAATATTTAACTTTTGGCTTAACTACAAAGGCTTAAGTGATGAAATCATGACTTATTATTGTCCTTTTAAAGCTAGGCGTATAAGTAAATGGAAAACTTGTGTATTTGTTTGTTTTAATATTAACCTTTTATTCTCTTTTTTTATGATATAAGTTTAAAGAAAAGGTTATTGATTTTGAACCCTAAATTTAAGCAATGTACAACCACTTCTTATTTATTTATAAACTCTTGTTTTCCTTTTCAGGCTGGGCCTCTTCAGTGGGGTGGCTTTAATTGTTGGAACTATGATAGGTGAGTCTTAAAGGCCAATTGGAGATACTTCTGGCCGAGCAAATTGTCAAAACAAATGCATAAAACATGAGCGAGGAATGTGAAAGGCGACAAGAAAAGCAAATGGAAAGTGGTTCACAAAACACGAACACGCAATTTCCTTGGATTGTGTCAAATGATTTCACTGTTTTTGTTGTTGAGTTTTCCGTTCGCCTCTGGCTTTTCAATACGTCTTTCTCTTTTGGGAGTCGGTGAAAAATATTGAGGCACATTTTTTCATTGGGTTTATTTTTTCGTGTTTTTTTCTGTTTTTTTTTTTTTTTTTTTTTTGAGTAGAATTGGAGGCGCGCATGGCCAAAAATACGTACGCATAAATTTAGCTATATGTACGTCAGTACATATACACATCTCCGGCTACATATATATATATTTATATATGTATAAATGATGTCTGTCTGTGGGTGTCGGAGTGTATGGATATAGAGACACGCATTCGACGTGAGAATGAAAGTGGCAACAGGCGGAAGGAGGGAAAGCGGGGGGTTAAAGGCAGTTATTCAGGAGTATTTTTGAGGGAAGGAAAAGGGAAGTCCTGTAAACAAGGATGAAGCTTCGGTTGCTACCCATCCTGTTGTGGTTAATCAGCGCAGTCTCCCCGACTGAATCTATTTGAATACTGATTTGCCAACACGTGGAGGACATAAATAGTTTCACTTAACTAAATTGAATGCCGGGAAAAGGTACATATTAGGAAATGCCATAAAAACCTTGTTTAGAAATAACGTAATTATTGGTAAACTTTGTTTAAAAGCATATATTTTATTTTGTGTGCTCCTTAAATAATCATTAATAATTCCATTTATAAATACTTTGGGTAAACAACTATTCAAACAAACCATATAGAAACATTATACAAAAAACAAGAGAATATTTCATTTTTTCCGAACTTTTTATTCACCCAATGAGTATCGTTTAACTCCATTTACCATAATTCATATTTACCAAACACTATCGATGTGACCGCGACTGTAAATCGCCAGAAGCGAGGAGTTTGAGGACACGAAATACATATTTATGACACGAATAGCGCGTATTTTATCGCGTTGCACTTTGACCTTAGGCAATGGCGCCAGTTGTGGCACCAAAGTGTGCTTCGCCACCAAATTGTTGCACGCCTCCGGCTCGGATGTCCGCCCACCGCCCACCGTCCACCGACCACTTTTCGTTACTTCTTTTTCCAACACTCCTCCGCCTGCCCGGAAAATTCTCCGCTGCCAAGGAAAAACCACTATTTACCGGTATATTGCGTATTCGCCGCGTGGTCGGAGCTTTTGCCGAAGCTCTCGCCCACCGATGACGTCCGCACGCCCCCAATCGCATATATATTCCGATTCAGGTTCCACTCCCCCTCTCCACCTTCATTAGCATAAGCGAATCAATGGGAAAAGTAGGGAAAAGGAAAACAATGTGGGCTCCTCTAATCAGCTGTTTGCTCCAAACCGCAGCTGTAACCTATATCTATATATATTGTTACATGTACGTACATCTATATCCACTCATGCTCTTTATTTTTTGTATTTATTTGAATAGGGTCTGGAATTTTTGTGTCACCCTCCGGTTTACTGGTTCGCACTGGTTCCGTTGGAGTTAGCTTTATAATCTGGCTTGCCTGTGGTGTGCTCTCTTTGCTGGGTAAGTACAAGCACCCTCCGCTGAAAAGGAGGATTCATCCCCTCCTAAAACGCCAGATTCACCCCCCTAAAAAAGAAAAGAAAAGAAAACAACATGCATCACGTGCAATTGACCCAGTTAGCGAAACAGCCAAGTGGCCAAGTCCCAAAATCCGACCCTGCACTCATCGGAACACAACTTGTTGCTCGGCTGGCAGAAAGCCAAACTTTCGCGGAATCTCACACCTCGTAATCTTGTGCACTCTGCATAAACGGAGGAACCAGTTCCCCACACAATAAAAAAAAATAATGCCAATGCAGGCATTAATTTAAAATAATTCTCATCATTTTTTTGCGCCACTTGTTGGAATTTCCACCTACAAAATATATATGTTAAAAATCAGAATAAATAAAGAAATATGTTCTCTAAATAATAACTGAAATATTATAAAATATTCCTGCTTAAGTTCCTGCTAAGAATTATATTAAAAATCCCCCTGGACGATTGCAATTTGATGCCATTAGGTCTTGTAATTACTATCGATTTTCCTAATTAGTTTTCCCAATCGCATTTTGCAGGCGCTCTGGCATATGCTGAACTTGGCACGATGAACACGTCGTCGGGGGGCGGAGTGGGCGTACTTCATGGACGCCTATGGACCGGCGCCGGCGTTTCTGTTCTCATGGGTATCGACTTTGGTGTTGAAGCCATCTCAAATGGCTATAATATGCTTATCATTTGCACAGTACGCCGTTGAGGCCTTTGTGACGGAATGCGATCCGCCCAGGGGCGTGGTCAAGATGGTCGCCCTGGTGGCAATTGGTGAGGATTGACATCGTTTTGGGGATTGATACCGAAGATATAACCCAAAAGAATGGTTCTTAAACCTGCATAGTTTTATTTGATTGCAAATGGTTGCATTATTCTTATTCATTTGTTACCAAAAAAAAAAAGGTTAATTTAACTTCAATATTTTGTACTCACTTTCAAATTGATAATCAGAATTTAAATGATATTATTCAGCACAGATCTGATTCAAAAAATATTTTTATTAAACCAAGTAAAGAAGGAAATTATAAGAACTCAAAGTGGTTGCTTTTCTACAATTTAATCCAGGTTTAATTCGGTATTGATCCCCTTGCTACTCTTGTTCCAATTTAAAACATGAATTTCAACTTCAAACTATCTTTCCCCGTACAGTGATGATCCTGTTCGTGAACTGCTACAGCGTGAACCTGGGAATGGCGGTGCAGAACATCTTCACCGCCGCCAAACTGGTGGCCGTGGTGGTGGTGATCTGCGGCGGAGCCTACAAGCTGATGCAGGGCAACACGCAGCACCTGTCGAATGCATTTAATGGCCCGATGCCGAACGTGGGCGCCATCGCCACGGCGTTCTACACGGGCTTGTGGGCCTACGACGGCTGGAACAACCTGAACTACGTGACCGAGGAGATCAAGAACCCGAGCAAGAACCTCCCGCGCTCGATCATCATCGGCATTCCGCTGGTGACGCTCTGCTATGCTCTCATCAACATCTCCTATCTGGCGGCCATGTCCCCCGAGGAGATGATCGAGTCGGAGGCGGTGGCGGTCACCTTCGGCAATCGGGTGTTGGGAGCCCTCGCCTGGCTGATGCCCCTCAGCGTCACCATCAGCACCTTTGGCAGCGCCAACGGCACCCTCTTCGCAGCTGGGCGGTAAGAAAGCAATGGGTTTTGGTGTCTAGAGAAAGATAGAATCCCAAATCATGGATTTAAGAATAAAGGAAATGATTCCCTTGTATTTAGATTAGAATTCAAAAGTATAGAACGGGAACTGAGAAAGAATCTATGTAAACAATAAAATTAAAATCCCAAATCATAATTCTCATAATGAAAGGGAATTATTTCATTGTATAATTCAAAAGTAAAGAACTAGAACTGAGAAGGAATGTTTGTAAATACCTTATGATTTTTGTCTTTCCCCTGTAGTCTTTGCTTTGCGGCCAGTCGAGAGGGTCACCTGCTGGATATCCTCTCCTATGTCCATGTGCGTCGTCTTACACCTGCTCCGGGGCTGATATTCCACGTAAGTATATAGTAAATATATAGTACTACCCCTAGGAACAAAGCTCCAAGTAGATTTAACCCCATTGCTTCACAAGTTGTATATAAAATCATGGATAATTTGAATATCGTTTGTAAATAGCTTAACTCTCTTTTTGTCTCCAATTTAGTTATTCAATTTTTGTTCCCATTCCCACTTAATCCGCTTGTTAATTCCTTACTAAGTATATCTTAATGTGTAATCTGTTACCCAGTGGTTAGGAATATCCCATCATGATTTTGTTTTGAAATTAACTAGCGTGAATGCTTGTGTATCGATCCGATCCTCGTTCTAAACTCCCCTTTCTCTCTCTGTATCTTTCTCTGTGCGTTCTTATCCCCGCCTCCAGTCGCTGATTGCCTCGGCAATGGTGCTGCATGGCACGATTGAATCACTGATTGATTTCTTCAGCTTCACCGCCTGGATCTTCTACGGCGGCGCGATGCTGGCCCTGATCGTGATGCGCTACACCAAGCCCAACTATCCACGGCCCTACAAGGTGCCGATCATCATTCCCGTTGTGGTCTTGGTCATCTCCGTATATCTCGTCGCAGCCCCGATCTTCGAGACGCCCCGCATCGAGTACCTCTACGCCCTGCTCTTCATCTTCGCGGGCCTCATCTTCTACGTGCCATTTGTTAAGCTCGGAATGACACCGAGGTTTATGAGTGAGTCACTTGGAATACAGAGGGGAAAACCCCGTTGTTTTTCACCAGTCAAAGAAGTATTTGATCTTGGGCAAAACAAATGCGGTTTTCCCCTTTTAAAAAGTAACTAATATCTAATACAACTCCTTCTATTTTACAGACAAGGTGACGCTGTTCTTCCAGCTTCTGCTGGAGGTGGTGCCCACCTCATCGATGGCCATGTTCGAGTGAAGCTGCCCCGGGAAGTGGTGCTCAATATTGGTGGATCGGGGTCACCAGATGGCAGAGCGAGAGAGACGCAAATACATTCACTTAATTAACTATACACACGAGGATATATTGGGAGTGAAGAAGCATAGACAGGATACAATGGACGAGTGTTAAGAGCAACCTATATTGATATACTGACGTTGTCGTTGACAAAGTAGTGCTAGAGAAACAGAAAACTATTTGAAATAGTCTTTTTATGCTATGAGCTGGTTATATTCAAAAGGTTATATATGAATATACAGATATTTAGTGCGGATACATCCAGGTGTATCTTTATGTAGCGCGCATAGGCCAAGTTGCATAGTTGATATGTACGTACGTTTATACAAAACCAAACAAAAGCAAATCTATATATACATATATTTTTGTGTTCTATTACTTAAAGATCAAAAAACAAATGACAGAAGCGACAAAAACACACACCAAAACCAAAGTCTAGAAAACAACTTTGCCAAGCGGTTAGGAGTGGAAGCCCATCGATAAAATGGGTAATGGTTTGAGTACAGTGCCGCCAGGAATCGATGAACACCACCAATCAGTACAGTACCCACCTAAAAACTACACTCGCCGCAGAGCTTTCGGGTTTGTCCTTGTTTGTATTCGTTTGATTTTCCGTTGACGTTTTTCTTTTTACCCACACACTATGTTCGAGTTAAACGATCTAGAGATCGGCTGGAATAGCAATATTTATATAGATATATATATATATATACGGCGGGGACAGGGATGATAATAAAACCAACAAGGAAACACAAAATACAAAAATAAGAAAAACCCCAACTGAATGTTTCTAACTTTGTGCGACAATGACGCGTGTGAAATTCGTAGGACTGCAAATAGGCATTAAAGATTTGTAATTGATACCAAAGTAAGGTAAAGAAAACAAACACTGAGAAAACTCAAACAAAAAAATAGAAAAAGCCAATGAAAAAAAGAGAAAAGCAAACATAAATACCACTATGGATACTTGTTAAATACATTTTTTTGCGACTTCTGTCTGCTTTGACAAATCGTTGCAACCAAAGCTAGATTTAGATTAAGAATGGCGGTTATACTTCTATTATTATATTTAATGTACCATTTTTTTTTTTTTTTTGAATTTTTGTTTTCGGTTTTTTGGTTTTCGTGGAGGACTCGTCGTACGCGAGTTAGAAAAAGACAGCAGATGCAGGTGCCGTCTCACTCGGCTGCAAAAATACAGAATTTACCACTTTTCTTTAAAGTTTGATATACTTTTTTTTTGACTTCTTGCTATGCTTCTCAATTGTCTGAACCGATATACAAAACATTTATATCTTTACCTATTTATAGGGATACTACAGAACTTACACACACATAAATATATATTTATATAATTTGTTAAGTTTATAAATTTTATAATTTTATTACCAACTATTTACAATGAGCTAAACGGTAACCAGAACAAATCGAAAATCTCTATCTATACATGTACCTACCACCTAATAACAAAAGAATTGTATTATGTAAACCAAAAATTGACGAAATAAAGTTTTTGAAACACATTATTTTGTAAAATCTTTTTTGCCCTAATAAGGGAACTCTCTGCTTAAAACAATAAAATTAAAGTACTTTATGCTTCAAAACATATAATTTCATTAATTTTTATTGTAATGGTAAAATCTTACATTACTCAAATTCTAAAATAAATCAACAGTTTTCTATTCCGCTTAAAAAATATAACATTCAGGCATTTTAAGAAGCTCATTGAAATCTTATAAATTTAAATGTGTATAGACAAGAATTGCTTATACTTAAAAATGCTATGAAACAAGTTCTGACTATCTTGGCTACGTCTCCTTTTTCTCCTGGCGATTGAGAAGATCAGCGTTGAACTCCGGAAACAGGATGCCAATTTCTCGAAGGGCAGATGCTTCGCTATCGGATCCGTGGCAGGCATTCCGGGTGTCGGATAATCCGTACAAGGCTCTTATGCAATTTGGATCACTATACACGGCACGAAAAACTTTGGTGGGTCCTAAAAGACTTCGCCACTTCTGGATGCAGGCTTCCGATTGAAGAATTAAGGCGTAACACGGACCACTGGGGAAAATATGTAAAAATTGTTATAGTAAATTGCTAAAGACTAAGTAAGATAAAGTAATTTAGATTTTTAAAGCATACGTTTAGAAGTGAATTTAATCCTATAAAGAGTTTTTGGCCCCTTTATACATATCTTTCTTAATATAGAATCTATTCTCAAATAATATTGGATATATTTAGTGGTATGCCAACCTGTTCATAAAGCTAGTTAGTCGGTGGTAAAAGAATTTGCCCTTGTGCTCCGCGTAGAATCTTTCCGAGAGTTCTTTCGTAATGCAAACCTCCTTTTGGTCGAGAATCGTAAAGTCTTTGGAGATTAACGCCCGGATTTGCTGCATCGCGTAGGTATTCCGCAGCACGTGCGGCTTTATCAGGGCCAGCGTTATTTCCATATTTAAGGTTTCCAAATTCCACGGAATAAAAGGTAAACAAATTAGCTAACAATAAGTCGCCGGTGGCAGTTATAATCGGTTTATCGATAGTTTAACGCTAATTCAATCTGGAAAAAAATATGTTTATGTGCCTAACATAACCATAACCAACCAAGTTGTTTTATTTTATGCTTTACTTGTATGTCAGTGCTTGTTTATATTTACAGTGTAATTAAAATGTTGGTGCTTAATACTTAGTGGAAACTCACTAACTTCTTATCGATAGCTCGTTCCCCAGCGACTGGTCACACTGCCCCCGATCAGCTGTGCACATTACACAAGCAGCGGCTTTTATCCGAGTTTAATTTTGCTTTCGGCAGCCTTATTTGAATTAAAACAGCACCATGCCTTTCATGAAGGGACGTGAGCCGATTCGTCGCACCTTGAAGTATCTGAATGCGGGGAAATTGGTGCTCAAGGACAAAGTGCGCATTTTCAGCGTCAACTACAACACATACGGCGATCATCACGCGGGCGCGAGGTGAGCTTCCAAATTACGGGACTTAGCGTATTACCGTATTAACCGTATTAAACTTTGATTCCCAATAGAGACTTTGTGTTCTGGAACATTCCGCAGATCCAATTTAAGAATCCCGAAGTGCAGGTGCTCACTTTGAAGAACATGACGCCATCGCCTTTCGTTCGCTGCTACTTTGATGACGGCAGGGACATGCTCATCGATGTGGACAGCAGGAATCGCGACGAGATCATCGAACACCTCGTTCAGGTGGTGGGAAAGACCAGGTAAGTCTCTATCAAAAGATCATACACATTCTATCATGAGAAAGTTCTCAGAAACTGCTATCATATTACGGATTATTTAAACTTAGGTTCTCATTATCAGATTTTAATTGGTCTTATCTGTATTGTACCTTTTCTTGGCTTAAAAGTTGTAGAGATGTTGATGTTTAGTGGTTTTCTACTTTCAAATTAGGGTTTCTTGATTTTATATTATAATTTACAGGATAGTATAGAGATTTTGTACTACTCTAGGGAAAGCGTTGTCTAGCGCTGTCAGATCAGGTTCATAAACTCATCATTTTATTCTAGGAAAACTCTTAATAGACAAATTGTTGGGCTTAGTAATTCCTTTGTTTTTTTATTCGCTCTTTCTGGTGTTTAATTTCTTAGGACGTTCTGTAAGCTTATGAAAAAACTATGATTTTAGCTAGGAATTGTGATGTTCTTATTGTGGTGGCAGGTTTATATTGGTTTATCTTCTCATCATTTGAGGGAAAGTAATTAGCTGGGAAGTTGCGGCAGGATTTTCTTTTAGTTTGAACTGGGATCCCAACTGCATTATTCGATGAGGTTTCATTTATCGCAACACACAACGATACGTTTCATTTCATCAATCAAGTCTGAACCGCAACACTCATTTGGAAAAGAGTCTTCATCCAAGACTCCATTTGCAATCTGTGATAAAATAACTACATATTAAACAATTTCCCATTTAAAACTACCAGAGAGCAACTGGATGCGGAGGCACGTCTGAAGGAGAGCAAGGACAACCCGGCCAACTTCGGCTACGGATGCGACAGGCACTGCATCTGCGAGATTCCCGGCCAGGTGCCGTGTCCCGGAACCGTTCCGCTGCCCGATCACATGCGCGGCAAGGTCAAGTTCGCACCCAAGTAGAAGTCCGTTCGCCTTAATGTTCCTTTCTTTAATAAATTAATTGTAAATTTACACCTGCAAGGCTCGTCTGCTGAGGTAGCGCCCTAAGTACTAATGATTTTTACAGACTACGAGTGTGAGACGATGGCAATGTCGGGTTTGGAAGGCCTCAGCGCCTCTTCGGTCGCTGCTGTCGATGATATGGAGCCGAGGACTTCCCATAGCGCTGCTGCGTTCCGTCGCGATCCTTGTTGAACTGGTAGCGCTGTATGAAAGGCACGTTGGCCTCGCCTCGGCCCGATGTGTTCAGTTCGAGATTGTCGTCAGTCTGCCGCTCCAGCACCTTCAGTTTGGCCTCGATGGCGCGAATGGCCTCCGTCTTGCTGATCTTCTCCTCCCGTTTGCCGGTTCCCAAGGCGGGAATCTCCAGGCGTGGCTTGGGTTTCTGCAGGTCGTCCTGTAGGGAGGAAAGTATTATATAAGGTGTGTCACAGATGGTATCAATGAGGAAGGCAGGTTTCTTGACGTTTCGTAAAAAAGCTAAGCCAATTTCTCTTGAAGGGTATCACAGGTTGGAAAATTTTCTGCGTTACTTACATATTTGATGTTTTTTGCTAATCGCACGGCTATGGAGCGATTTCCCACGCTGGTTCCATCCAGCTTTAGCAGTGCATTTGTAGCTCCCTCGTTCTGAAAGGGATCAAGATTGTTTGGAAAGGTAAAAACGAATGTGTAGGAATCTGGCTTTTTAAGTCGGATTAAAACTATTCGCCAAAGTAACATGTACCAAAAAATCTGTTTACGTATTGTACCTAGCTGAAGGTACATATTTGCTCAGCACTGATCCCGAAATGCAGCCGCTGAACGGCCCAAAATTGCATTGTACCCACCTGCGCAAAGGTGACGAAGGCGTAGCCCCTCGATTGGCCAACCATGGGGCCTCCCTTGTGGAACAGCATGTCGAACTTCTCGATGGCACCGCATTTTTGCATCAGTTTGAGGAGTTGAAACCGATAAGGGGATAATGCAAAGTGAACTATTAGCACGATCGATTTTCGCTGCAATTCAGCTGCAACTTACTCGGTGATGCGCGAATCCAGGTTGCCCACCCAAATGCGTCGCGTCTCCTCGGAATTTCCGCTGGCGCCACCGCCTGATCCACTCGATCCGGCCTGAAAGTACAATTTAAAATTGGAAATCGATCTATAATTAGACTTTAATACACGGATTTACGTACAGCGCTTGCCATTTTCTTAGCCAAAATAAACAGAAAAATGGAGTGTGTTGAGTTTCGGTGACCCGTGGTGAACTGCGGTCAGCTGCTCGTGCAATTCACCACGACAGTGCTGCCACTACAAAGCGATAATGTGGTAGGACTATCGTCGAAAAGGTATGTTTATTTCAAAATCTGTTTTAAAAACAAAAAATTTACCTTCAAAAAAGCCCGATTAATACTTTCTGTATGCCAAAATGAAATTTGTGGTCTTCAGTGACCACATTTGCAGTAATTGTAAGACAACTAAACGTTTTTTGTAAGCGGCAGTCAATTAAAAAATGTGTAGGGGTAAAATGTTGCACAAGATCGAGGTAACTAAATTATTTAACTATCCGTATTCACAACTAAAGCTTATATTTTTACGGTGGACGAAATTTCCCAAGCGGCGGCGATGGCAAACGTATTCCAGTTTTAAAAGGACATGACAACCAGGTTGAAATCTGCAAAGCCCCTTGAAATATGCAACAGCAGTCCTGGGGACAGGATGGAAATAACTTGATGGGGACTCATGTATGCGATAAGTTCCAGAACCCCATCTCCATGTCCTTTCAACTGCAACAAGGACAACTAAATTCCTACGCCTTCATTTCTGGACACTGACCCGATGTGAATGCAGAAATTCAAGATATTTTTATGGTAAGTGGAATATGAAATGTGCTGGAATTTACTTACCTTCATTTATGGCTTAGGGGAGGCAGTCATAAATTTATTTTAAATAATTTTTTGTATACAACGTAAATTAACTGGCTGGTTAAAAAACTGGAAACATTAATTATCGTTAGAACCCTTTTTTTTATTTAGCTAATTGTTTGTGTATTAAGATTGTGTGATCATCTTGCGGTTTTGTTTATCCATAATAATTATAGTTATAATTTATCAAAGGAAACAGAGGGGATCCTATGAAAATCGCCAGTTTAATATTTAAATTTTAGCATGTAACCTATCCAAATAATTTTGTCATGAAGCTTTTTTCAAAGCTTTTTTCTTCAAAGGAATAAGGTTTTTTTTTTTTGTGTGTTACTAGTCGCTCCACGTGTTATTCTTTTCCTGGTTTCAACTCCTAATTCTCGTCGCCCAGCCATTTGTCGCACGACCTTCTCAAATTACCATTGTTGAGCTGAAGCACGGGTGACAGGCAGCCGGAGATGGAAGTTGAGGAGCTGGGTTCCTCGAGACGAGGTCCTGGCAATGTGCTCCTGGAAATGTGAGTCCGTTTCGTGAGATGGCGAGCGGTGATGAAAAACCGACGCTTGATCTCTGTCGCAGCTTCGTTTCTTCTGCTCCGCCATTTGTTTAAATAATTCACCGAGACGTCGGGTTCCTCCATGCATATCGAGTTTGTCCAGCCCGAACGCACTCGCATGCATATTTAAGCAGTTTTCGCTGACAGAGGTCACTGGAGTTATAGCCAGGCACTCAACAAAAAATCTATATTAAAACACAAACAAAAACTGGAACCTCCTGGATCTGTTAACAAAATTTGTTCAGATATTAATTTAATTAGAAATTGATTTCAAAGATGTTATTCATTTTACAAACTATGGAGAGACACTTATCAAATTATTATCAAAATGCGTATTGAACTGTTAATAATCCCTAGTTCTTTCCCAGATTTCCTCTCAGTGCATCTGAGAAATGCGTTTTAGTATGCATGCTGCAATTTCTATATGGCATCCTGCTTCTGCTTCTGCCTCGAATTTTCCTATCCTCCTACACTTCCTATTCGTTTGCCAATTTTTTTATGGCAAAGAGCTGCGAGCAACATGTTGGTCATTTTGTGCATACGTAATTCGCCTTACAAATCACTTGATGGCGCCAAAATGGCAATTTAGTGGGTGCAGCTCGTACGAATTACCCCACTGAAGTAAAGAGTCCCCGGGTTTCGCAACCTTATACTCGAAAGAGCTCTCTATAAAAAGTCTTTAAGTTTAATAAACTGAATAACGAATTTCCAGCAAAAGAAAGTTTGGAGAAAGTGTTTGTATTCTCCGATAAAGAATGCATGGTTCGTTTGGAATATATGTTCTTAATTAGTTTTCTTTGTTCAGTCCAACTTTTAGTTATGCCTTCATCATGTTTGTGGAGTCCCAATAAAATGTAATTCAAATTAGCTGACTGTTTAGTAGGTGATAAGTTGGTTTTTATGATAGAACATAAACCGCCAGTTTTGTTTAGTTTATCAGCCTTTTGCTACCGTAGAGTAAAAGGGTTTATAATTCGAAGCAAGTTGCTCCAATTATATGTTTTATAATTTCCTTCCCAGGAAATTCTTTACGAAGCGAATTTCCGTTGAGGGCAGAAATTTGCTGGTCTTCGTTGGCTTTATTTTGTTTTCGGTGCTACTCTATACATATGTCCTCACTTATCCACTGCCACGCCCAACCTCTTTTCAGCCCACTTTTTAAGCCATTTTACCCCGCTCCTTTCTATATTTTAACCATTTTGCCTTGTGTGCACCGCGCCGGCGGCAAATTGCAAAATGGACACCATTTTTTGGTTCTGCTTTCTTTTTTCTTCAGTTGAACATCGTTTTCTCTTTCTAGTTCATAAATATAACTGCTTTTATAAATGCACTCACACTCGCACAAGAGTACACTGAAGAAAGTTACGGGAAAATCATCTTTTAAGATGCCTTTATCTTATATCTTATAGAAATTAAAATAATCTTAGGCGAAAATATCATATATTTAGCAAGAAATATAATATATAATTCATAAAAAAGGCCTGTAGAAAACCTAAATTACACCGAAATCAATTACATTTCTTTCCGTGTTTATAGCTTAGATATGCTGATACTTAGGGGTCGCCGAGGAGAAGGGGGCGTGGCAAGGGGGCGTTGGGTGGGAGTGACACGCATGCAAAACTTTGTATAGGAAGCAAACCAGTTCAAGTGCTTGGAAAAGTAAAGTCGTCTGGTGACTTAAGTTGTTATAAAAATGCAAATTTTTTACAGCTTTTGCCATTTCCTAGAGCAACATCACGATGAAAGGGGCGTTCCAGGGGGGAGGAGAGGGCGTGGCCGGTGGAAGGATATGTGTATGCATGCATGTATATGGAACGATAACTACACGAAATGGTTGTAATGATTTTGTCATGAGTTCTGTGCTCTGTTGTGGGGGTATAAACTAGGCTGAACAGCCACAGCAGGAAGGAGCCAAGAAGGACGAACTCAAGGAGGTTGTTAAAGCTGGAAAAGCTGGACATTCCTGGTCGCAAAAGGACACCACTGCCACTGTATCTAGAGTCCTGCGAAAGGTTGTACTTTTAAACAGAGAACCTGAATAGAAGCAAACTTTAGGAACTGGGAAATCAAAACATTTTCCAAGTTAAAGAAAAGGAAAACTTAAACATTGCAAACTGAAATCCCTGCCTACCAACTACTTGATCACCTGAAAATGACAAGGATTCCTTTGGAAAACCTCATTGTTTTGGTCACAAGTATATATTTGTATTCACAGGACTCCCTGTGGACTCTCTGTGAATATGAAGTTTGGCTAATTATTCCAATTACTACAAAATGTGGCTGAAATGTATTACTGAAAATGACAAGTGTCAACTGCATTTTTCAAATGTAGCTAGACCACAAACCTTAACAAATGTCTTTTATCGCCTTAAAAACAAACATCCTTTGGATTAAATTCCAACAAAAAGTTACATATTAAAGGGTTTTTAAGAAACATTACAACTTCACTTTCTTTAGTCAGCAATTAGTACGTAACTTATTTTATTTAAAGCATTACTGGAACCCAAGTTCGTTAGGTTGTAAAGGACATGGAAATAGTGAGGCTCTGCTCTATAAATAAAATAGGGTTGGCAGGGTCCTGCGATTGTTCTGTGCAGGCTGATGTACGAGAGCATTATGCGATAAATGTGCAGTTTTGTGAGTTATTCAAATTATGTATGCGCATCGGTGTGTATCCATCTTGGCCTGCTGCTCCTCCTTCCCTTTCTTCTTCCTTCTTCCTTCTTCGCCCCTTTCCTTGGTCCTTCGTCCTGGCGAACGGTTCATTTGTGCGAGGCTTGTGCAATTTATGACAGCGTCTAGGATCAGGACATGGAAATATGAAGGCAATAAAATGCCTGAGCCGAAAACACTGGGACGTGAGTGCAAAGAAGGAGCAAAGTACAGGAGCCTGCAGCCTGAAGAGTCTTATCCTCATCGCTGGCATCCTGGGAAGGTGTTGCAATGCCCATTGAGAGTGCCAGGGTGCAAGTTATTCCAGAATGCCATTCAGCTACGCAGCTTATAAGAGGCTTGGATTTTAATTTGAATTTGAAATCAACAGTGATATTTTTATAGTTATTAAAAAATATTCATTTAAAGTGTTGACTTATGGAATAGTTGCATATTGACTTGAATTTAAACTTATTAAAGCAAACCAACGTCAGCTAGAGTTTAAGGAAATAAATAACTATTTAAACAGAGATATTTAAATATTTATAAAAACTATCCATTCACTAAAAATAGTTACCTAACTCTTTCGAGCAATTTGCTTTAATTTTCTTACCCTTAGAATCTCCAGCGAAGAAAAGCAAACTGATTGAATTCCAAATCACATCAAAGTCCTGTTTGAATGTTAATCTACCGAATTAATTCGTGCAAACTTGAAGAAGTGCCATAGCATTCATGTAATTAGATGCTTGTGAATCCAGTTGATAGAAGGACAATGAATTGGTCCTGCATTATCATCGTCGGAGAGGTGTTATAATAATGCCGAATGGAAATGCCAAGGTGCCAACTGTCTCGAGATTTCATGGAAATTAGTTGGGCGGAAATGCCGACAGATTTTGATTTTAATTAAAACTTATTCGGGGGAATGCCATCAGCAAGTGCATCAGGGATCTTTAACAATAATAAGGCATGACGAGTGCTGCATAAATTTATCCTGCACATAATGCACGCCTTTCCCCCTCTCTCTATGTGTGTGTGTGTATCTTTGTACTTGTATTTGTATCTGTGTGTGTGTTTCTCTGTGTCTCTGTAAACATGCGGGCGTAGGATATATCCCCTTCTATATACATGAAAACTAACGGTTACAAAACCATATAACAAA